ATTCATATAAACCTACAAAATGCACTACAAAAGTACCAAATTTTGAGTGAAAAGTATTCAGAAAATTATGAGAATTAAAAAGCATTAAAAAATTTAGCATCGCTTTCAAATTTAGTTACCAATTTTCAAAAACATATGTTCATATATACCCGTTAAATGTTTTATGGTGGTAAAGTTATCAGGATAAAAACAATGTTACAGAATGAATTCAGTTTTTCAACTGAATTTAAAAAGAATTGATTTTTGAACAAATAAATTTATACTATTTCCCATCGTAAGGTCTTTATAATTAAATAAAGAAAAGGTTGTTATGTTATCATGACATTTATATGAACGTATTCTAAAAGTTTTTTTTATTATGACAATAAAAATGAATATTGATATCATTCTTATTATAGTTATTAATAAAATTATCTACAAATTGTTAGTCAAGTCACAAATTGTGTCTTTTAATTTTGTTTGATTTATTTTTTTTTAATTTCTAATTTCATCTTACAATCTATTTTAAAAGTCAATTGGAGAAAATACTTCGAAAAAGGTTATCGACAACACTGGCTCCCTTTGTACTCTGGGACCAAACATTATCATGTGATATTATATATATTATGAACCCAAACAAAGTTAGTACAGAAAAAATTTAAAAAAAAGTATGTCAAAACCCTTTTATCTGTAAAATATTTTTTAACAAAAAAATTACCCTTTAAAAAACCTAAGGAAAAGGGTAAAAGGTAAAAGATAATAATATTTTTAGGTTTTTCAACACGAGTATAGAAAAAAATACAAGGTTTCTAGAGAAATAAAAATTTCAAACATTAGTAACTATAATTGATTTGATAAATATAGTTTTGAGTTTACCAATAAATGCTCTTATTATCCCCATAGTGCGCTGCCCAGGGAGGTCCTAGCGTTTTATTGTGTTCTGCTTGGTGTGGCAAAGTCATATTCATTCATTCATTCACTTCTGACTTGCAACACATTTTTATATCCTTTTATATATATTTTTTTGTTGCTCTATTTTATGTGAAAAGTGTGAATTTGAATGGTCTTGTATTAGTTTTATTTCAGTTACTTTTATACACTACTCAAGTGAACTGGCGTTTACATTCATAGCTTCGTGAATGGAAGGTTTATATTAGCAAAAGTATTTAATAAAATAAAATTAATTTAGCATATATCATCAGTATTTGCAACAATCAATTCATTTCATGCATTCCAATATGATATTATCAGTAATATTAGAGTATTTAGTATAATATGAACCTACGCTGCACTGTCTTTGAGTTTTATTTTCCTTTTTTCCAGAATTTTCATTTCCTATTTGAACATTTTTCCCATCTGTCTGTGCTTTAGCTTTTTGATGTGTCCCATTTTGCGTTTTGTGTGTGCAGTTAAAAGATTTATAAATATGAATTTTATATACATACATTGTGGCATGAAAAATGCAAATTTTAGAAATGGCCAAAGGAAATAGAAATGGTCATGGGCAGAAGCACAGTTTTTACTATTTCCCTTAAAGGACTTTCGCCAGGATCCCCTTTGTCCGTGTCCATCTTTCATTTTGTTTTGTATCCTTTTTTTTGTTATTGTGTCTCTTTCAAACGAGTTTTATAGTTTTCGCCGGCGTTTTTTTTTCGGCACACAGATGCTTTTAATGACCAAGAGGGTAAAATAACCAGTATTGCAACGAATGCAACAAATGGCCAGAAGAACCACGAAAATAATACCCTTTTGATGCAATCAAATTTGGTATAATACACTTGTTTTAAGGAACATTTGAAAATATATCAATTTTAATAAAAAATTAGAGATACTTCTTCAGACCTCAAGAACTCATACTATTTCATTCGTTTATCTAAATTGTATGCTTTAGTTTCTTCAATTTATATTTGTAAATCTTCGCTTAGAGTATCAAAAATGCGAATGGAAAATTATAATACAAATTCATGTTATTACTAGATAATTAATTGCCATTTGTTGGATGATTTTTTCTACACCAACTCGTTGAATGAACTTGTCGTTGTTGTGTTTGTTGTTCGACGCCATAAATCAGTAGAATTTTATGCAAAATATTCCGGAAATTTCATAGGCTAAAATTGGCAATTGGCTTGCTGGTCCAGGATTATTAATATTTATTAACATGCGGTGCATGATTAATGCGAGCTAATGAAATTGGTTAAAGCGTCGAGAGCCGAGTGAAAAAAAATAAATATCGTTTGAAATAAACAATTAAAGGTTTCAAGTTAAATCGTAGAGTGTAATTAATATTAAATGTCATCAATTATTCTAAGCCAGCACATTTTGCCGGACGCAGTGTGCTAATAAGGGCGCAGGAGGCTGGGCAATCGCTAACCCCATTTAAATCAATTAAATTATGAATGAGATTAAAATAATTTAATGATGCTCAATTCACTTCAGAGCGAGTCGTCGTCTGCCCCTCCTAGCCTCTTGATGACAGCCATAATATATAAATTTTGCATGCTGCAATTGCAGTTAATTAATAATTCAATAAACTTTTGTCATTCCACTTAAAAGAATTTCACATAATTGTCATCAATAAATGTGTGTGTCTGCCGTTGAAGCCAAATGACATAAATTATGATTATTATGAATTTAATCCACAGCTAAGTAAAAGAAGTGCTCTCTGCTGGAGGGCGTGCTAATTGTTAAGTGTATTGCCGCAGAATTTATTGTAATTAAAATAGTCAACTAAAGGATTAAAGGGATTTAAATTAAAATTCCAGAATACCACAAAAAATGACACTTTATGTTGCATTATTATGCCGAGTTGAGTTAAATTTCAATAGCAAATAACAAAGTGCTAAATGAGGCGGCTATTAAGATAGGAAGTGATTTTTTACTATAGGAAGAAATACAGGAATATCTTAAATTTTGTATTTATTTATTTTTGTAAAAAGTGACGATTTAAATTAACTGTATTAAATTTCGTGTTAAGTTTTTAATTATGTTTTGTTCTTTTCAACTCTCTTAATTGCTATCAAACAAGAAAGGAAACAAATTTAGTTAAGCAGTAGTTTATTTAATTTTAGGATCTTATGTGAAATAGGATCTTATGTGTAATCGCATTCTTTGAATCGATAGTTATCGATATTATAAGAATTTCATCGATAAATCAAAGTTTAAAATATTCATAACAAAGCCAAAAATGCATGAACTTTAATTAGAAAACCTTTTCTATGTTTGCTTTTATAAGATTAATAAATCTGAGTACTGCATTTAACATTTTATAAAATTAAATTAATAAATCGACCAATGTTATTTAAAGATTCTGGTTCAGATTCCTTTACAGTAATAATGTTTTTTGTTTATCAAACTATGCTTATGGACTGGGAAACTTTTACATAATCAAAATGACAAAAAATAAGCTGTTTAAAATTGTCATTCCCTTCAAGGATATACAAAATATCTATATATTTTTCTTTCTATCAACTTCTTTATACGTTTTCTTAGTTTTTTTCGCGTTTTCTTTATGCTATTAGTAGATTATTAAAACATATTTTTAATAATATTGAAAGTATGAATATAATTCTTTTGTCAAAAGCATAACGAAGGTTCTGGTCCTTTGCATAATTGCGATGGACATTCCCGACTTTGTCATTGTAGAATTCGCAAGAATTCCAGGAATTTTCCCCCCAAGTTCTGCTATCCACCGACGGCAGTCAATTTTCTTGTTTACATTGGGGTACACACACACACACACACCACCCCCCCAGGCACACACACTAACGCACTCGCTCTCGCGCACACAATGACAAATAGCAAACAATTACAATGGAAAGAGGCGCAGGCTCCGCCCCCTTATCTCTCTTCGAGGTCCGTTGTTGTTGTTGTTGGTTTTTGGCCGCAATAAATACAATTTGCATGACAAAATAGCAAACAACGGCATCTTTTGCATGTGTGTATGTACGTGTGCATGTGCATGTGCAAAGGGGGAAGGGGATGAGGGGGTGAGAAGGTCCTTTGTGGGTGGAAAGAGGCGTCTGCAGGCTCACTCAGCCAAAACGAAACTGCACACAAAAACAATCAACTGCGCGTCCAAGGCAACAAAAATACCACCAACACGAGGCGAAATCTTAATTTCAAAAACTGAATATTAAAATACCCTTAAAAAAATCATTAAATTAGGGAAATATATAAAGTAAAGTAAAGGGTAAACATTTGGGAATATTTAAATATAAGGTAAGAAGCAACTTTAAAGGAGGAAAGAATAAAAATATTGTATCAAAAATAAATCTCTGATCTATTAGAAATATAATGGTAATATTAAACCAAAAGTGCCATAACAAGTACAAAAAAATTAAAAAATTATATATATCTAAAATATATACATTTTAAACCTTGTTTTATAGTTCAAGTATTACATATTGTACAATAAATCCTTTGTTTAGAATATTTTTATGCAACCCTTTGAAATACAGTCTCCAGTGCAATAACAATGCCAATAATTACTTTATAACCTTAACCTAAAGAAGGCTTTTTCATATCCTAAAGAATTTCTTCTATTTTTATGCTATTTTAAAATGTTTAAATTAATGAAAATTATAAAAACAGCCTTTAGTGAGAGTATGACAAGCGAGGCAGCGACTGAGGCCTGTAGTTAGACTTCAGCCGCAACTGTGAAACAACTTATGAATATTCAATTTTACATAAAAGATTTTTTGTTGCCTCTGCCCATAGCCGTTGTTATTTTTGAGTTTTTGTTGCCACCGGTCTTCCCTGTGTGTTCTTTCCTAGCCTCCTGGTTGCAGTCTCGCATTTTCCCCCCCCCCTCTCTCATTCTGTTTTTCCGCTGCGCCCCCTCATGGCAGCGAAAACACTTCATGCATGCCACGAAATGTGGAAAATATTGGTACGGGCAAGTCCTTTAGGCCAGCGGCAGCCAGAGGTTAATGATGAAGTGCTGCTCGAAATTAGGCAATGGTAGAATTAAGGTTTTTTTTGAAGACCCTTACTCTTTTGGCCTAGTCAAAACTTTAATAATATTCTTAAACAAAAATTTATGTCACGTCAATAGAGAATTTAAAGCGATTATTACTGAAGTGACCTCAATCCAGCTCGAGATCCTTCTCGACGCAGGCATTTAGCGATTGGAATTTTGACACCTTCATGGTCATCAGTGATTTGAGTAGATCATCCATACGAATCTCCAACTGTACGCAATCCTTGAATTCCCCCACGACCTCGGTCTCCTCCTTAGCCGATCTCGATTCGTCCTTTTGGCGCATCATTTCACGCATGCGGCATATGAAGGCGTGGCGACAAAGCTCTCGCAGATCCGATCCCGAAAATCCGGTGGCCAAGCGGGCCAGCTCCTTGAGATTAACAGAGGGATGCAGTTTCTCAGACTGCAGGATAAGTTGCAATATTTCCAGACGCTGGCTATCGCGAGGCGCTTCTATATAGAACTGAAGTGACATCCGACGCAGGATGGCCTTATCGAGGTCCTGCGGCCGATTGGTGGCTCCCAGCACCAGGACACAGGCATTGGCATTGCTAATTAGACCATCCCAACGTATCATAAACTGGGTTTTCATCATGGCCGTGGCTTCGTGATCCCCGCTGCCGCGTACTCGCAAAAAGGATTCGATTTCATCGATAAATATAATGCAGGGTTCCAGCTTCTGGGCCAGAGTAAACACAGCCGAGGCCAGTTTCAAGCTCTCGCCATACCACTTGTCCTTTAGTACGCTTATGTCGAGGTTAATGAACCGCATGCCAGCATCCTTGGCAACGGCCTTGGCGATCAGCGTCTTGCCACAGCCGGGCGGTCCATGCAACAGGACACCCTTGGGCGCCTGATATAGCTGCGAGCGGGAGAAAAGATCACGATGGCGGACCGGCAGAACCACCGACTCTCGCAGCTCACTGACCACCGCATCCAGTCCGGCAATGTCCGCCCAACTCACATCAATGTCTTCGGGAGCCACTAGAAGGGCGGCGATCATCACTTCGTGCTCATTGAGATCCTGCGTGCGAAACTTTCGATCCTCCCTGCCCGCCGCCGAGTTCAACTTGCGCAACTGCTCCTCGGCCACTTTCTTGGCCCTCTTGCGCACCTTGCAGTGCGGATCCAGCAGGCTGAGCATCCATTGGCCACTGAAGTAGGTGATGGCGCTCACCGCCCCCACCGATAGCACCATGGCCGCGATCTGGCTAGGCTTCAGGTCCGGCGACTCCATTTCAAACAATCCGGCATCTGCGGTATAAAAATGTCGAGTAAATATATAAAACTTATTTTGGGGCAAGCGAGAGAGGGGTTCCTGTGCTTGCTCGAACGAGAAAATGTGAAAACTATAACAGATATTTCCCATGCTCCTCCTCCTACTCAGGGAACTTGAATATTCATTCAGCCCCAGCTGTAGTTTTCTCTATCAATGGCAAAGGAAGATTTAATGGGTAACAATGCACTTTTATTAGAGATCTATTTCCAGAACAATGATTTTTGCCAGCGCCCCCTTTCAGGCCATTGCCCAGCTGCGTTTTAATTTGAGCTTAACTCTTCCTGCGCCAGGACTTTGACGGTAACCTGAAAGGAAAACCCATACAGAAGACTGGGGCGTGAGGAGTGAGGAGCGAGGAGCGAGGAACGAGGAATGTTTTCCAGTTTAGTATCTTTTAGCGGAAGTCAATGTAACAAAAGATAAACTTGTCGGGCCAGCTGCTGTTTCTTGTTCGCTGTTTCTAGCTAGCTGGAAGGCTGCCTCGCTGTTTCCCAGCATCCTGCTGGATTGAACGCAAAGGCCGAGGCGTAGGACGGTCAGAGAAGTATTAACTAAACACTGCAGCAATTTATCTTGAACCAGGCGAAAAGCCCCTTTCCCCATCCCCTTTGGCTGCTGCACGTAGGTCAGTTCTGCGCTTTGTCTTATAGTTTTTTGTTCCACCCCCTTTCCCTTTTCTTGGGTCTCCTTTTCCGGCCCCGCCCCCCGGAAGTCGCTGTGCACTGTGTTGTTTTGAGCTTCCTTCCGCATTACAAAAGAATTACTCAACACAATGTCTGGCCGAAGTTTTCCACGACTTCCAAGAGGTATTCTCCGTCCCCACGCCCCAGCTCAGGTGGCTCTCACAGCCACTCCAAAAATTGGTATTTCACAAAGCTCTTGTTGGTTTTTAATCCAACGTTTTGACCATTGTGTGTGTGCTGATCAAAAATGAAATCAAATTGCCAACTCCGGAAGTTGGATTACAGTTTTCCCAACTGGATATAAATTGAAGCTGCAAAATTGTCGACAAGTTTATGAATATTAAAACCAAATCCAGAGCTGAATATGGTCCTATTTTACATGCTAAATATTCTTTTGAGGTAAAGTCTACAATTAAGTTTTTTTGTGACATTAAGGTAATTTTAACATGTGAAAAAACTATCTTAAATATAGCTTTAGAAAGTGTTGGGTTTTGGAATAAGAAGGAGCCACAATTATATCATTAAGTGAAAAAGTTTGAGTCACTAATGATTAAACTTTACAACTATCTTCCCAGCTCTAAAAACTGATCCATCCTTAGCTATTTTTTCGAGTGGTATTCATCGCTTATTGCCGTGAATTTTGAGCCTGCAGGCAGAAGGATAAGGTATATATATCCTAAGTGCAATTTCGGAATGCACTTTGTGCTTCATCTTTAAGCTCGTTAGCGTAGTACAAGCCGCCCAATTTCCACCTTCACCGAATCCTACTGCTTTTGAGACCCAGTTCAAGGCTTCATAAAAATCTCTTCAAGTGTGCAATATTTCACGATTTCACTTTAATCTTTTGAACACTGGCACTTGCTGTCTATCCTTGTGCCCCTTAACCCTGGCTCTATTCCTTCTTTTTCTTTTTGTTCCTTAGTCAACCTTTGAGCTCTTGCTGCACTGCAGTTTGCTAATATTGTAATAAAAAGATACAAGGTACTTTAGTTCAGGATATTAAGGTGATGAACTGATGACAAGCTATTCATAATAATCATAATTACAATATATATTGCTTTCAACAAACGTTTTCGTACATTTCTTTGTTTTAAAATATATGCTGAATATAGATTACAGGGTGTTATTTCTAGAGGGAAACTCTTCGTCGGTACAAATAACTAAAGCTTTCTTGAAATTGTATTTTTGTTATTTTCCAACATTCAAGTTCTTTCGTGCGTTTCACTGAAGATGGGAAAATTTTAATTATATTTAGTCTTGCGTATGTTTCGATGTGCCTTTATTACTATAATAGTTTTTCTTGCAATCGCTCAATTTTAAATTAAAACTTATGGAATATTTAATTCAAGACTTTTACAGACAGATTATATTAGTATTTTTAGCGCTGTCTTGAAAATAATGTATTACTATTTTGAATTGCAAGAATTGTAACCTATAAAAGTCTTTACGATTTGTATTAAATTTACAACAATTTGAATTTATTTTCTTTCTCATTTTCTATCTTATAACAAGCTTGCCATGACACTTAAGCCCTCGTTATAACGAGTTTTTTAGGATCATCAGTGTTTCTTGTTCCCTTTGGCAGTCTGCCCTTGATAATCTTATAGAGTCCATCCACATGAGGTGACAGATAGACATCCAATCGGACGATATACTCAATTTCGGCCAACAAACCTAAAGTGACCTCAACCTGACCCTCGTAGAAATTGGCCACGGTGCTCCTCATCTTGGGCGAGATCAGAAAAAAAGGCTTAAAGGATTCCGAACTGAGGACGTCTACCTGTAACTTTTCACGCTCGAAGGTGGCCATTGCACAAAGACCGGCACAGAAACACACATCCTCCGGGGTCACAATCTTGTCGTAATCGTAGTTACCAAAGGGCGTTGCCAGAAAATGCAGTGCCGCCGATTTGTAGTTCTTTAGACCCATGTTGGCCAGGCCAGCGGCACAGCTGAGACGAGGTGGCACCTCTTGGGCAAGATTCTCGAATCCCAAGGCATACTGCTTGGCCTCGTCAGTGTAGCTGAGGACATGCCACCAGTTGGTCATGTAGATGGAGACCCGGATCAGGTGGCGGAACATGGTGATCACATTGTCACTGCTCGTGCAGTAGGCCCTTGTCCGGGCATAGAACTTGACGGCCAGTTGCAGGTTGCCGCTCTTCTCGTGATAGTCGCCGATCTCCTCCAGAATACGACGCACATGGCCGCTGCTCGAATTTGACTTTTTAAAGTTGAGCTCGGCGTCCAGCTCTTGGAGGAGTAGAGTGGCCTCTAGCATATTGTCCTCCACCCAGTAGGAGTCATAGGGCAGAAGCACCTCCTCGTCTCTCTCTCCCTCCTGGCCGCAGAGGGAACTATAGAGCTCATCGTACAGCTTGACATTGAAGGTAGTCTTGACGTAATCAATGGCCAACCTGAGTGCCGGCACCTTTAACTTCGGGCACACCTTTGCGATGAACTTGAGGCGAAGGAGCCGCGTGGTGTCCGTGTATCGATCAGCGTAACTTGGCAAGTGCAACGTGGTCACATCAGTGCCCATCAAAGAGTTTGAGATCATCTCTGGGTGGCATTGGGCCTAAACCCTATTTCTAAAGAGGTTAAGGTGTGTTAAAATATAAGTTACTTTGGGGTAAGGGAGCTCTGAGATTTGTTTTAGTTTGATTTCGTAATATACCCTAAAAGTATTCAGTATAAGTCCATTTTTCCATTCAAATTTAGAACTGGTTTCAGGTTGTCTTAGGAACTAAGATTAAACTGTCTTCCTTCCTTATGCAGATTCATCTGAATTTGTGCTAAAAAGAAAAGCTATTGTCAATATACTTAATGCAGAATAGTGTGCATTTATTTAAAATGTGAATTTTTACCTGTGACAATGACTGAATGTGCAAATTGGCGCCAGATTGCGCGACAAGTGCAACTCGCCTTAGCGAGTTTGCGAATCTGTATCTTCAGATTGCCAGACACGGCTAGAACGCCTGTAGAGCAAAAAAAAAATACGAATTCCATTACAAAGATACAAATCAAATTGGCAAAGAGCATTCGAAACAGGGAGGTCTTTGGGAATGCAAAAATCAAATTACCAGAACTTGAAAAATCGCAGACATCACAGACCCATAAATCAGGGAATGAAAGCAGGGAAATCGAAACGTATATATATTAGGAATTGTTACCGCTAGTTAACGGCTTATTGATGCGTCGCTTTTGGCTAAATTTATTGGCCCGGTCATTGGTCCTTCGCTTCCGCACACCAAAATGCAATATTGGAAAATTCGAACACAGAGAAATGTGCGTGCAAAACGTTTCCAAATTGTAAAAACTCTTAAATATTTTCTTTAGTCGGTAAAATGCTTAGCAATCACTTTAATCGTTTTGATTATTAAATAACAATGTAATATAATTAAACTTTATGAACCTTAGATTATACATTTGTATACTTTCCAAAAATATTTATATGAATCGATCGTCAAAAAGAGTCGATTTCTGTAGGAAAAGATCGTATCAGCCTGACATTGACCTTTTATTTTATATATATAAATATATATATATGAATCTGAAAACGAAAAACTGGAACTTAAGCAGCATCTCATAACATCAGCATCTTCTCACAAAAGGGCCTTTGCTGTAAAGTTTTAAATATTTTCTTAGTGTTTCCGAAACTACGGGCAATTTTCCTTATAATAAAAATTTCGAATTAAATAATAAAATAATAGCGTACTCAGTGCACAAAAACATAAATTTATTAAAAGGTTTAATGAAACACATAAGATAATACAAATTTTAAAAATACATAATTAATAAAACTTTAATAGATATACAATATTAATATATATAAATATATATAATATAACAATATTAATATAACAAAATTTGTCAAAAAAACAAAGAACATTCAAAATAAAATGATTCAAATTAAAGAATTTTCAAATATCTTAAAATAACCATTGTTTTTCCCGTTATTGCCTGGTTTAGTTTCTTAAAGTATCTGATTTAGCTTCTTAGTTTTTCTTCTTGTAGAAACCTAGTTCTTCAGAACTTTTCCGTTCCATTCTCGTTCTATTCCTGGTTTTCGGTTTTCTTGTAATTAAGAGAAAACCTTTGTCGCCAAAGTACTTTGTCATGTTGCCGGTAAAAGTGGCATTAAAAGTGTTTTCATAGAGGGTCAGCCGATTCAAGTTTTTAAGCGTTTCGCAAATAGATAGATAATCAAAACTGATGAGCCGGTTTCCACCCAGATAAAGTCTTTGAAGATTCTGGGCTTCGGCAAGGGATTCTAGCGATACTTCCACCAGTAAATTATCAGAGAGATTCAGGATTGTAAGATTGGGTCCAAAGAGGGGAAACCTTTGTGGTATTTTCTCCAATTTATTACGGGCCATGTTAAGGAACCTGAGATTCGGAAAGTTGCCCTCATGCTTATGAGGGGTATCCAGATCGAATAAGTTTTCCAGGGATGTGTCATCCAGTAAATTACGGGAAAGGTCCAGGGTTGTTAGATTGGCTCCAAAAAGGGAAAGCCTTCGCGGTAGATTATTTAATTGATTTCGGGACAGGTTTAGGAAACGCAGAGGGGTGAAATTGTAAGATATGGATCTATACAATTCGAAGAAAGAGTCATCGGCATTTTTTGAGGAATTCGATAGATCCAGCCACTCAAGGGATGGCAAGTCACAAAGGACTTTTACGAATGATTGCGTGAAATTGGTTCCACTAAGATCCGCACGAGTTACTTTACTGTTTTTATGAACAATTTTATCAATACTTCCGGTAAGCTGTAAGCTCTCCACTCCACTGGTCTCCAGCGATAAATCGGTTACTCTTATAGACAATCTCAAGTCCCTCAATTCTTCACAATTACTCAGATCGAGAGAAATGATGGTATTGTAGGTCCAAATAGGAAACTCTAAACTCACAATTTTCAATGGGTTTCCTCTGAGTCCAATTTCCTTCAAATTCGAGTTCCGAAGGAAAATATCGTTTGACAGAGTTGAGATGTTATTATTATTCAAATTTAGCGAATAAAGATTCGACAGCGGAGTAAAAACTCTTTCCGGAAGGATCTTAATCAAGTTATTCTGCAGACTTAAATACTTTAGCAGAGAGAGTCCCTCAAAGGTTTCGTTTGACAATACTTCTAACGAACTTGCTATCAGTGTGAGCCAATTCAATTTTGGAACATTTTTAAACTGGTACTTAGGCAATTCCGGAATGGAGCATCTGGTGAAATTCAGGTCCATCAGATCGTTCATTGGTGGAAGTACATCCATTTTAAAGTCACTCTGGCACCCCCGGACGTGGAAAAACACAAGATTGGGTGTAAGTTTCGCCACCTCCAAGTCTGAGCAGTTTCGAAGGATAATTAATTGAAGATACGGAGCCTCTTTATTCGAGAATTTTTGATTGTCTTTAGGATAACAAGCTCGGTGGCGACAAAAATGGTCAAGATCTTGGTATCCAAGAACAGAGAGAGCCATCAGTAGTAGAACATATAATGTAATCATGTTCAATTTAACTTTTCGTTATTTCACTCCGACGAAAATTTACGAAACAAAATTCGACACAAATATTCAGTCCTTATCAAAACAGTTTACTTTTCCGGAATAAATAAAATTAAATCTGAGCGGAACGATCCGATCTGAATGAGAACGATCTGCTAACTGAAACTAGAGGGGGAAACTAATCAGCTCTTGAACCCGAGATTATATGAAATAAAAACAAGAATTTAAGCTGAATTCGGCAATCAAAATATTGTACACTCTTGCGGTTATACGAAATTGCTTTTAATACTATGCTTCCCAAGAAAATATATAATTTAAAATCAAAAGATATTTCAACAAAATATTAATGCCACTGTAAAACGATCTTAAAATCCGAATCAAATCCAGTAAAAACCCAACAATAATACCGATCGGATATGTTGATTTTGTGCCTAAATAGATCTACAAAATCTGTTACTTACTGCGCTTAAGATCTTAAGATGATGATCTTTCTATCGAACATTGAGAGAAATTGTTCCGATAAAAAAGACATGCAACTGGAATGACTGTTTTAAATCAACCTTGTAGGGATCTCTAACACCAAAAGTCACAAGAAAATAAGCCTTTTAAATCGAAACGAAAGTTGTACAATTTTCATTCATATTTTTATATTTTCGCACCTCTCTTAACATAAATTGCCATCCACCCGTTTAGGTGCTACCAATTGTTGTTGCCAAGAAAGAAAATGAATGTTGATAATATTGTATGGTTTTGTTTTAACATTTGGCGACCGTGACTAGTTGGGAGCACAATTTAGTGGGTCTGTATTAAATAAAAGGTGCGTTTTTTTAATTTTCAAAATATTCCCTAGGCGGTTGGCTCAGTGCCATTTACGGTAATGCCTCCACATCTCACAGAGGGACGGTTTAATAAGGCAGGTGCACTCGATGGGCGAGGGTCCCGGCAAAGGATCGTGTGAACATTCCGAGAAGCTTGGGTACTTTGTCTTCCGCCTTTGGCAGCGGCCGCCCCTGTAGGGACGCTGGCATTTGGGAGGAACGCGGGCCTCCACACAGCAATTGGGCATCGTGACTCGTGGACAAAGGGTGGGCTTCATTAGCGCACAGGGTTCGGTAAGATCGAGATCCGGCTTGCCAAGCACACACAAGTTCACCGGACAGGGACTCTTCACCGGGACACGCTGTCGCCGTGGAGGATTCACCGGCAAGGGGACGCACTTCATCTTTCGCTTGCGGCATTTCACAACGCATTCGTCCCAGGTGCGCGGATACTTGCGTTTGCACATATCCTGGGGCTTGTAGTGGGTGAGGTCCCAGGGCGGTAAATCGTTGGCACACGGATCACTGAGGCACGCCTTGCGGGCATCGATAAACGAGGGATAGTTGAACTCGACATCGGAGCGGCACTTGTACTCCGTTCGACGCATCGTCTGCCAACAGGCGTCAAAGACCTTCGAATTATCCTTCGATTCCATCGGCTTGATGTCCTCGCGCACCGGCAAATGGGGATAGGATGTGGGATCTCTGTGGTGCAACTGAAGTCGCATGGGTTTCAGCAGCAAACACGATAAACGCTGGCCAAACCAGGATTTCGATAGGAGGGTAAAGCCCTTTGATTGCATTATTTCCGTCATAATTTTGAATAAATCGAATTGAGATACACTATTGATCCATCAACCGAATCAAATCAATTTTGGCGTCTTAAGAGTAAAAGAAAATAGTAAAAGAAGAACGGAAAAGGAAAAACTTTTTTTTAAAAGAACCGAGAACATAACATAACCGATCAGTGTGGTCACGTGTCTGTTTTAATACTAAAGAAATCACAAAACTGGTCAAATATCTTGACAACTAGACTGACGTTAAAATCATGGATAAGATAAAATGTTAAAAAATATATGTACATAGGTGTGCCATTCTAAAGTAATTTTTCACTTGAATTAAGGAAGAAAGTGCTTACATTTTTCAGAGGTTTAAAGTGATAATGAAATTTCATTAAGAGAACTTTGATATGCTAGTCTAGTTAGTAAGTAATACTGTAAAACTGTGCTAATTACACTTAAAATTGATATTGCAATAGTCAAAATATACTTTCAAATTTCTAGTTGTGAAAAAATACAAGAAAATCTGACAAAAACAAACAGGAGAAGTAAAATTCCCTGCATCAAAAATCGCTTATATAAAAATAGAGTGAATAGGTGAAAACCTCTGGCTACTTTGGCATTTTCCATCCACTTAATTTTCCCTGAACGTTGGACCCTCACCCACTTGACCGCTAATCGAGGAGCGAAGCTTTTGCGCCTAGATTGCAATTAAAATCGATTTTCCACTTTGATCGGGAATTTCTGATTGCCAAAAGCTGGCGCCGCCCACAATTCCGCTGTGCCATGTGTTTGACGTCTATTGTGTCGATTTGTTTCTGTCAACGTCTGGGGGGGCTCCAACATCCCTTTGAGCAAATTTTAATGAAATTAGAAATTCGCACGCGCTGAAATCCGAAAAAAACGAACGCGATGGCGTTGAATTCCGGGACACACACACTCGTCGCCTCGATTACTTGTCAATTGTAAAGCATTTTTGACTGTGATTGGCCTGGAAACGCGCCTGTAGCCATCAATCTGCTGCTAGTTCGTCGCGTTCTTTCTTCAATCAAAAGTCATCGATACGGATGCTTTGGCACTACAGTCACAGATGATTGACGTGGTCTTTTCGCGAACAAGTTTTGGCATTAGCAAAGGCAAAAGATAGTAGAGCAACTTCTATATTTTCTTTGAAATTTGTTTACCCCAATCAAGGCAATTAATTAATGTCAAAATCCAAGTTTAGATGTAAGGTGTAACTTGAAACTTGAACTGAAAAGAAAAAAAATCCCCAGTCAAAAAGCCAATCATGTCCAAATAATTGTTTATTTTCAACAAAATTTATTGTTGTCTGCACCTGGGGCATTCCCCCAAAACACAGCACATAACATGGCGAGGGAGCAGATGTGTGTTTTCCGGCCTTGTATGGATTTTCATTTGTACTCGAAACATGGAAACTGAATGCCATCATGAGTGCAAATGTTGTATATAATTTGCACGACAAACAAATGAGTGCTGGGGAGCGAAGAGCTCGCTTTGGGTTTGTGCTGTGTTGACCATTCAGCTTGAATAAATAAAACATGTAAGCTCTTTACCAAATATTTGCAATTAAAACTTCAATGACATTGTACGCGTGATATTGGGTACTTTAAACTTAAAGAAATACAAAAAACAAGGGTGGCTAGGACTGAAAAAGGAAGTTTTAGCTAAAAGATACTGTGGAATTCCATAAATAGAATCAGAAACGAGTATTGCTGTCATAGTTTTCTCTCCATATATTTTAAATACAGTAAATTGATAAATACCATAAAATTAATTAAAGAAACCTAGAAGAAATAACCTGCAATAGATGAATAGATAGATTTAGAACTTGCTTTGGAATCTCTAGTCTTTATGTCTACTAATTTAATATGTATAAACGTAATTGTAAACCGAAATTCTAGAGCACAGATTAGTTATTATAATATTGTTTTAAACTCACCGATAATATAAATTTTCTAATATTCAAAAACACTTTTGAATTGCTAAAAGAGGGCTTCTTTTATACAGATATCCTTGGGTCACATATCGAATTGATACCGTATTTCTGTTACGATTTTATCCTGCTGTACACTGTGTTCAGTGGCTGGCAGGCAAAGTAGCTAACTAGCAAACCAAGGACGACGGGCGGCAAAGTTCAAATTCAATTACCTTTCAAATATTTGCATTTTGTGACACAAACTTTCATCATAATGCTGCACAATGGCTGCCACTCGAATGCCACTTGAAAGCGGCCGGCGGATGGCGAATGGCGGATGATGGTTGGGCGGTTGGGTGGTTGGGTGGTTGGGTGGTTGGGTGGTGGTTGGGTGGTTGGGTGGCTGGGAGCTTGAGTGTGGAGACGACTCTCTGGCAGGAACGATAAAGAACAGACCGACGGGAAGCGGCACTCAAAACAGTTGCCGCTAATGTCGTCGTTCTTCCTTTGGTCTTTCCAAACGACAGCGACACAACGTCGTCGAGTTTTAGGAACGACAATGACGTTAACTTTCGCCGCCTACCGTATCCTGGCCTGCCTGGCACCCGGCACCCGGCATCCTGCACCCAGTTTCAAAACAATTACAAAACAAAGGCCAAAGGACTACAGGCCCCTGCAGCAGCAGCAGCAGCATGGTCCACGTTGAATGTCGAGCGCATAAAAAATACCCAAATAAGCCAATTTCAAAACAGAAATTGCAACATTCACTTGCGTCGCCCCACTGCTCCTCTGGCTTTTCTGCTGCACGTGGCACAGGATACCTTCAATGCCCCTGAAACGAGGCCGGGCATATTCGTAAAAGTAATCTGGCCAGACTCATGCTTTATATATTAGGTACATTAAAGTTAAAGATTTAATATAATCATATTTCTGGGTATTCTAGGAGCTATGCTCTACTTATATGGTGTGTAGAGAAAGTGGTAGTTGATTTCTACATCATTTAGGGAGAGTTTTAAACTATAAATCACAACAGATTCTTAATGAGTGATACGAATTATAGGAATACCTAAAAGATAACATGGTATAAATGTTTAATTTCAAAAGGTGTCACATTGAAAACCACTTTTATCAAATTGTTTAACTAGAATGAATACCTAACAGTTCGTCTCTGATATAAATTTAACAAGCTTTAATAAAACTAAAGTATGAAATACTTTTAAATTCATATCAAATCAAAAACTAAGAAGTTTTAAGTATAATTTTCACTTATTCTTTAATAATCTTCTACTGCACTTAACATATTTTACTAATAAGGAACAACTTTTGCACTTACCAATACCTAATTTTATGGCCTTCTCAAATGCGTATCTGCAAGACTTAATGCCTCGCCTAGAATCTGAAATGGATGTACAGAAGTTTGTCATTTTTTAACCAGACGAAGGAATGCATTATGCAACAGGGTAAGTCCACCCACTGACGTCGTCGCACACTAACCCTATTTACATGCCGAGTTCCCTTGGGAAATAGCAAATGAGAGTCCTGCGCAGAGGACCCGGGAAAGCGTCTATAGATCCGCAATGAGCATAGGTAAGGGTTTTCGCTGCAGTCTTTGCCTCATGTGGCAAAATGTAGCTCCATCTGCATATGTATAATATGTATAAGGCGTGTGGACTTACATTCATCGTATGAATGCCCTCCAAGCACGATATAAAATGCATAGAATTTTCCTTTTAGTCGATGCGTTTGGAAGTAAAATTCATATTATGCATGGAGCTGTCTCAACGAAACCAGCAACTAAAATGCAAGACAGGAGAAAATTCTCTACACTCTACACTCAAATCGCATTCGGAAAATTCATGTAAAGTCGTACATTTTACATTAAGTAATGATCTCAATAGTTTATTCTTGCATTCTTTCAGGCTTCATTATATGTTTTAATTATATTTCCAAAACTTATTTCGTTGAGATCTTTTGTTTTTCATTCGCCATAGATCAGTGAGTTATGCGGTAAATTTATGATTTGTGCCACCACAAAGGCAATGGGCTTAAATCACAAAAAAAAGAACAAGTTAATGGGAAAATATGTGGGGGGATTGCTCTGGGTAATGTGTGTGATCTGGGTTCTCTGTCTCCGTTGGCTAAAAATACAGCTGCTGTCGCTGCAGGAGTCGGCACAGGACAATGGAGGCTGTCATCTACAATGAAGATGAGCAGCAGACTGGCTTGAATGAGCTTGGTATGGAAAATGTATGGAAAAGAGCTGTGGGAAGGGGACACTGGTCTGGACACACACACATAGAGCAAGGCAAACAATAAGGGCGACAGACCACCCACACACGCACATATGTATGTGGGTACATGTGGGAGGAGGGGTCATGAAATCCTTTGGCCAAGTTTACTTCTGTCCTCGTCATCGTTGCAGTTTCCTGATTCCCAGCATTGTCTTTATGCCGGCTTAATCTGTGTCAAAAGGCGTAAGTTATTACAAGCCGGTCACGCCCACTTGGCTGACTGCATATAGCATCTCTGGGAGATGGCGATGCTGAGAGCCAAGTCAAAGGTTTATCTCGTGTTAACGGCTTTTGTGCCCGTTTCCCTAATCAACTAGATTTGATCGAGTTGCTCTCCTTTGGATGATATAACACCAGTTGGCAGTTTGCCAGGACTTTTTCGTATATATATATGAAAATTATAGTTTGATGTTTAAATAATTAAAACAATTTAATTATGTTAAATTAAAGTTTAACATGTATGTAAGCTCTGAGTCTCGGGTATCTCCTGCCTTTCCTAGAATTCATCCCATTGCAGACATTCCCATGCACCAAAGGATACTGTTGTCTGACTGTTCAAGCGAATCCTGCTTTATTTTTATTATCAGCCATATATATATAAAGCTATTTTAGTTGATATTTGTTAAGTGGGAGTGGGACACGCCTTCGTCCTCCTGTTTCAAAGACAAAGATAGATCGAGGGGGAGGAAAGTATAGCTGTGCTTCAGAAAATAGAAAATATGGCGGCTAACTGGAAAATAAAATAGCCATGAAGATGCAATTTCTGCAGTTCACTGCTTTTTGCCTATTGAAAGTGTAGGTAGCCTCTTTAAAAAACTAATGTCTCTTTGTCAGAGCTATAGTTATAGCCTAAAATAAATCGAAACTAATTTCACATTTTCTAGAGACTTTTTACATTTAATAAACTGATTAGCTTTCATACATATATTACATATTGCATTTATCCTTGCAGGGTATTGTAATTTTAGTCAGAACCTTGTAACTCTGTGAAG